ACCGTTCACCACGTGTGAACCGCTGACGGATATCTGGATTCCATCGAGATCCATCAGGATCTGCTCTCAGCCCCGCTGTCGAGTGTTTAAGTGACTTAATACCTCTGAATCCTGTTTGATTTCATTAGCGTTGGTGGGGAGGGTTTTATATCATACATAATGGAAGGCAGCGAACGGGAGACAGACAGCGGGGAAGATTAGAAGGCGCTCTAATTGTGGTGTGCCTTACACCGGGCTTGGGACGGAACGAGGAATCGATCGGGAAGGAGAAGTAAGAGAGGAGGAATAATCATGAGATGGAAAAGGAGAGGAAGAGGTGGAGAGGCGCGGGCTCGTTACAGGAGGAATGATGTATTGATCGCGTCTGACAGGCTGGCGCAGAACACATCGACCGTTTGCATGTGCATGTGTGGGACGGAGGTGTGTTGGAGAATGTGCAGGTCACATGGGCCTCTGCAAGGTATGCTAATGAATGTTTTGACATATCAGAAAAAGTCTGGACACAATTGAAAAAGAAGAAAAATAATTTGCCCGTCCAATAAAAAACAAAACATGTACAATCTATGAAAACTGGTCATAACATTTTATGCAAATGCAGTGTAAATTTAACTCTCTCTTTTTGTAAGGAGTTTTAAAAAATTAATTAATTAATTACACAATATATTAATTAATATACATTTAACAACAACATCAATGGTAATAATAATTTATAAATGTAAATAAATAATTATAATTTATACCCTATAATGTATATATGTATATATTTTTTCTAGTGCTGTCAAACGATTAATTGCGATTAATCGCATCCAAAATAAAAGTTTTTGTTTACTGTGTATATTTATTATGTATATATAAATACAAACACATGCATGTATATATTTAAGAAAAATATGTTATATTTATATATTAAATATATTTTTAAATAATATAAATTATATTAATATAAATATAAACATGTACATACATGTAAATATTTTCAAAATATATACTGTATGTATGTGTCTTTATATATACAAAATAAATATACACAGTACACACACATATATTGTGTAAACAAAAACTTTTATTTTGGATCGCGATTAATCATTTGACAGTACTAATATATATATATATTCAAGACAAGGTTACGACTTTGATATTGGGTTAATATAAATTGAGAAATCAGTAGTTTTAACCCAGTTGTACCACAGACTCTGGACTGCTGGGAAATATTACAGCTAGAACTCCTCCTAAATACTTTTATGTATTTTTCAAGAGTGAAAATACCTTGTAATGCGAGGAGGCTCCAGTAGAGGGCGCCATGCAGGTCTTGAATTCACCTCCTCATATGT